TCCACAACATTAGCTTCAGTCATGTACATGGTTCTTGTTCGCTATCTTTACTCTACCAAAATATGGTAAAATTATGAGTAAATTTATGATAAAAATGAAACTATGTATTTTAGGTACAGTTCATAAATTGTCTGTTTACGAAAATTCAGATCCTCGTTTCAAAGTACATTTAACTTCTCTGAACAGTGATATGCATATGCCCAGATATTCGGTATAGTCTTGTGATGGATGTAAATAGAGGTGAAACATCTACAACAGAGTTTTTCAAACTAACTCAGTGATTTATCGATCAAGATAAGAATGACAAAACATTTACTTTAAAATAAGAGACGGCGTGATATTGAAGAGGAATATTTAATGTTAAATCAAAAGGCAATAACGAAGGATAGATATACACCAAGTTTACGTTTTAAATAAATTACAACCACTAGCAGGGTTTCTCTACTATGATTTTAAATGACTTTAAATCTCAATTAAGGTTAATAATTATTTCTATAAGGCTCCCATTATTACAGCATAAGATAAATATAATTACAACCTATAGATGTTAAATATATTATGCTGGAGTCCATATCCGTCTATAGTCGATCGTAAATTTTACAAATCATATATTGCTATTACGTCATTGAGACTTAGTCACGAATACAATTCTACATGAAACTGAATATACTATAGTAATATATATATATATAAATATATATAAAGTTACGTTATTTAAAAGCTTATAACTCACGAACACAATGACCGATATTAACCAATGAAAGTTTGCAAAATAAGAGTGGAATATCGGTGTCTCAACATACACAAATAATGGGAGAAAATTAGCTGAAAATTTGTACTAGTAGGTCAAATTTGTTAGCAAACAGTGAGAATTAAATTAAACAAACTAATAGATTAAAGATTATTTCAAAACAATTTGTATATCAAGTTAAAGTACAAGTATTCCGTAATAATCTGGATAAATTGTATAGATTTTGGAGTATAAAAGTAAGGTGTAATCAATCTGGATAAATTTTAGGATTTTGTGGAAAATATAAGTAAGAGAGCTGGTTCAACTAAATGAAAGTACGAAAAGTATCAATGTCATGGGATCGCTCGCATGATGTCAGATTTTGCTCGATCTTAGAGATTGACGACGTGAACATAAAGAAAGTTCACCAAGGCATTTATTGAATGTAATATATATATTCGATGTGCATCTTTATTTTCAAACCAAATCAACATTACGAATAGTTGTTTCATATATTTTGATTTTGTAGAGTAAATAAACTAAAGATTCAATCAGTGAAGAAGAATCTGTTGACAAATATAACCAAATTGATTTACACCTAAGCAAAAAACTACTGTAGACCAACGTAGTGTTTAAAATTATTTGTTGCGTGTGTTACAACAATAAATGGTAATTTCACAGATGTGAGTTCAGTTTGATGAAGTTCAATGTTATTTTCTTAGTGTTTGGGTGCGATCGACAATCAATCAAGTGTTAACTGTATGCACATAATTGTTGGTTTATTTGAATATCAATTTAAATTATTATTCATTGAATTTGATTGATCATTTGTCGTTAATTCACTTTCAAACGCAAGTGCCAACGAATATGCATGTATATACATAAGAAAGTTCATCGGATTTTTGATTAGACATATTTTTCACTTCGATGCATATATATTTTCAAACAAACTAAGATTACAAACATTTGTTTCATATTTTTGATTTTGTGAGTAAATAAAACAAAGATTTAAGATATCGAACGAAATATCTTATGATAACTAGAATATAATCATGCTAGACAAATATAATATACAAAATCATTTCACCTAAGCAACAAACCACGAAGACCAGTGTAGTGTTTAAAATAATTTGTTGCGAAAGGTTGCAACGAAAGTAATTTCCAGATGAGTTCAGTTGATGTGAAGTTCAATTTATTTCTTTGTGTTTAAAGGTCGACAATCAATCAAATGTTAACTGTATATCCATAATCATAAAGGCATTTGTAAGTAAAGTTGAATATCACTAGTATTATGGTACTAGCGGTCGTTGACCACATAAATTTTCAGTCAGAATATTACTCTGACACATTTCTAATGTTATAATTTTCTAAATATCTTATTAATATTGAAATATGTTCTAACATATTTTTAAATCAAATGTTAGATAGCTGGGGTAGTTATAATTGGCAACAAAATAATAGTAATCTGTTGTTAGTTGTTATTATTAAATAAGATTTTGTAAATAAGTAGATGACCTTTAGTTAAAACTCTTCATTATTACCTTAAATTTTTAAACTGAATTACATAAACTTGCTCAAATTTACCATTACTAACATACTACTTTAAGATTTAAAATGGCTTTAGTAATCCTAATAAGCGTTGATCTATCTTCCTTACTAATGCTGTCATATTATTTTGGCTTAAGACATAATATTCTCCATAATCAACGCAAACAGTTTGAAAAATATCTACGTAGTTTCTTTGCCTCTATAAGTTCAAACCAAGTAATGCTTTTCACAAATCATGTCTCCGAACAATTTACGTCGTTGTTGGTCATTCAGTCTAAAGACAATTTACAAGAAGAAAATTCAATATATTTACCTAACATAGCTTATATTTAAATAAACAGGGTGACATTATACATCATGAGCAAAATGATAACAACCTCTACAGTGCCTACGTATAGACTTATTCATAAAGTAATTATCATGCTTTTGGCTTTACATATGTGCATCGAATATTTATATAACTATCCACTTTATGAACATAAATTTAGCTTCAGTCATGTATATGGTCTCTGATCCCCTTCTTAGTGCTTTACCGAAAATATGAGAAAATTGTAGAAAAGTTAAGATATTAAAAATCAAACGCTGGTGTATTTAAATTACTTTCACAAAATGTCCTGTTTATTCAATAAAATTTATCTTTCTTCAAAGTACATTGACTACTCAGAAACAATGACGCGTCCAAATAACCAGAA